AAAAAAAAAAAAAATCCAGAATGGAAATAGTAATCAATGTGTCATCTTTTCTGCCCTCTTATTAACAGTTCCACTGTGCCTATTTGGTAAAAGAACAAGATCATTGCTAGGTTTCTGTTTATTCTTCATGTACTTCAAAGCCTATTTTTGAGTCTCAGACATTCTGTTAATTCTTTTACTTCCATTGTAATTTTCTTTCACTTCCCAGCATATGTTACATACTCATAGGTATACATTTTCTTAGTTTTGCATCCTCTTATGTGTTGAGGGTTTCTTACAGTTCCTTATGCTTCCATTCCTATCTAGGCTTTATCCCAGCATAGCATTAAGATATCTTTTTGCCAACTTAGTGTTTTTAAATGGTTCTCAGATCTTAGTTATCTATTACATTTCTGTCCTGGCTGACATGATTCATATTTGGTTTCATCTTTATGGACCTTATCTGTTCAAAACTGGTTTGGTCTCATGGCATATAACAAATTGTTACTAGGTTGTGATCCACGTTCACCTGAATGTTTAATTATGTTTTGTGCTGAAATCAATTCCTTCATGTCAAGATGAGGTTTAATAAAAATTCCTCTTGTGTGCTATGAAATACCCTCTGAATTAGAAATTTCAAGGTCATTTAGTGCTGGCAGTCTGAGATCTCCAGTAGTTTAGTTAGTCGTCCAGATGGATAATGTGGCTTGCTTCTCCTCAGTGGATTATTGATTGTTTTTTAAGGCGCTGGTTATCTTATTCTTTGGAGTGACTGTTGTAGCAGACATCACCTACTGTCCTATTTTATGCTTTATCTGCTAGTTCATTAATCTGTAAGCATGTAAGACCCTTTGATTTGGAGCTAACGGAGACTTAGAAACAGGCAATGGCATTTGAAGCACAGAAACTACAATATATCTTTTTTGTGTGTGCTTGACCTTACTCAATACGTTGTGATGAGAGATCTCACAATTTTTTCTACTGGATTTCAGTAATGCCAACTGAGTAAGATTTATGCTTATAAACAAGTCATTTCAGATCCTCTTGTTCATTCCTAGCACCAGGGTAAGAATTTCTTCCCTTCATATCTGTTGGTGTCTTAATTTTCTTTTTGACACCTTTATTTTGCACTAAACGTACTCAAATACTTGTTTCCTCTTCCCCTTTTGTTACTGGTTTCAAGTCTTAGTCTCCTCCAGTGCTCCCTCCTCTGGGAACTCTGAAGGCATCTATAATCATTCCTTCACTGTTGCCAGCAGCTATATTCCTCTGTTTGACCCTTTCTCCAAGAAGCCTACAAGTTTTTGGCCTTTGCTTACAGTCCCAGAACACAAGATCAAGGGTGAAAGCCTCAGTTAGCTGGTGTGTGCCTGGGGCTGTGCAAGCTGGCTCCGGTCAGGCAGGAGAGTCAAATAGCAGACGCCTCCTGCTCCTCCCACTTCTATCCATCAGCAGCAATCTTTCCTACTCAGAGTCATAAGTGAAAAGGAAATCTCTTCCTGTAAAAAGTTTTTTTTTTTTTTTTTTTTTTTTTTTTTTTTTTTCATGAAAAGTCTATTCATCCATGATATTCTCTCCCCTGTGGAAGAAGAGATAGGAAAGAACTCATCAACTCTTTAAAACACATGTTTTTGTCAGGAGACCTTAGTGATTGAACACAGTTCTCCTCAGTGAAGGTGGTGGCTGAAGCTGAGATCATCCTCGCTCGCATCTTTTTTCCTTTCTCATGATACAGCAGCCTACTCCTGATGGCCTGCCTAGAAGAGTGAACTCTGCAGCAGGTGGTTCCCAGCTACTTTTCAGGTTCAGATTGCTAACCCTTCCTTTTACCTGTTGCACGTAGGGTTTTGTTTCATATGTTGGCAGCTATCATGTGAGCATAATGCACACAAGCAGCTTGCCATCAGTGGTTAGCAGAGCAGAAGTGCTGGGGTTAAAGAACAAAGTTCATAGGTATTAGTGAGGGAGCTGCACTTAGGAGAAATACCGGTCTCCCTTGCTGAGATGATCCACTTAGTACAAATATCTAGTGAATGTGGGTTCTGCTAGCAAACAGCATACACCTGGAGGATTGTTACCTACTGCAGACTTGCTTGGCAAGTGTCCCGCACCACCCCAAAGCACAGTTATTTTCCTGGGCAGGCATTGCATGGCATGGTTGATTATGAATATTTAACAGGTGTGATTAATATATTAAAGTTTTGAAATCTTTGCATTAACAATATGAGCTTTCAAGTGTGTTTGTATTTTGTATGTCAGTAAAATAGTTTATTCTTTTCAAATGGCTTTCATGCTTTAAATGAAAGGATTAATTGCTAGGCAGTAGAAAGAGCAGAGAACAGAGAGCTGAGAATTCTTGGTTTATTCCCAGCCGTGACTTGGGCCAGTCATTTGGGCATCCCTTTAGAAAGCAGCTGTGAGCATCAATTTTAGGGTGGTCAAACATACTGGAAGATACCACAAATGTCCCAGTCTGGGAACTCTGTAATGGAAGGCCCTAAACCAAGGGGACCATTCTGAGAATCAAAGCCTTAACCAAGCTGTGTCTGTGCGCAAATCACTGAATCTGTGGCTTGGTTATATGAGACTCAGCAAGCACCAACAATAACTCAATTCTTTCCTATATCTCTTCAAAATGCTACAGCATTATTGTTTCAAAATGTACTTCGTGCTAATGGTAACAGTTAGTTGTCAAGTTGTTTGACTCTGTGAGTCTTTACTGTTTTTCAAATTGTCTCCTGTCCAACTTTTTTCATTCTCTGATGTTAAGAAAAAATAATTTAAAAAAAAATGCTCTTTGCAAATGTATTGGTCACTGCATCAGGAAATTTATATTATTCCACGAGGCTGCTGTGTGGAGAAGGGACTGTGGGCTGTCACTTTGGCAGGGTATTTGAAAACAGATTCTCTCCAGCAGCTGCTGCCATTCTGTCTACAGCGTATTTCTTGCCTGTCAGAAATGCAGCACCAGAGCACTTGCTGTTTATGTCTCACCCATTTGTTCTGTATTTCTTTTTGTTTTGTTTCTTCCTTTACCACAGAACAGCAAAAAAGGCTTAGTAGCCTGGCAGGTATGATGTGAAAGGTCTGCAACCCCCCAACTGCTGCCTCTGCTGGAGCAAAGCTGCTGCTTTGTTAGCTGGTGGAGTACCTTTAGCAAACACACTTCCCAGGAACTGCAAAGGAATTAGTATAAATATTTGTCCTGGCTTAGTCCAGGTCACTGAATGTTTGATTTCTGTCTTTTCTCCAAATGCTACCCGTGTGGCCACATGCTAATATACTGAAACCCTAAATTACTCGTCTGTTCCTCCTAAGTCATAAGATTTACATTCAGTTTGATTGTTCTAGTTGACTTTTGGGGCTGCCTTTTTAGTCTTCAGGTTTATTCCCTTGGGGCATATTCTCAAGTTTCCCTGCACAGCCATTATAGTTAGTCTTGTTTGTGGTGAGGGGAGAGGAAGAGAAATAAAAATCAGTATTTATATGACTCAAAGAGCAGAAGTATTTGTGCTGGATGTCAAGAAATAGATGATAAAATTGTAGTGTGTAAGTATGCATGTGTGCTGCCACCCTTCTGTCCCTGGGCAGGTCTCTGCTCTTGCAATGGGTGTGAGAGTCTCTCCTTGAAAGAAGAACAAGTTGTTTTCCTGGTCATCCTTCCCTCCCCACACCCCAAACAGAAGTAGCTCAGTCTGCAGTGGGCATTATAGGAACAACGCATTATGCACCGCTTACCCATATTATTATTCTTTGGTTATGGCCATAGCAGGGTAAATGGAGAGGTGAGAGAGGAGAGAGTCACAGAGAGTGCTTAAGCACTTTAAATATCACAGATAGAAACACAGGGCAGCCAATACCGCATGTTCTTGCTTTGCTGCGTGAGCCCTGGCCTAGCGGAGGGTGTCCCATGAGGACAGCATCTGTCCATGAGGCAGCTGCTGACCTGGTCC